GGGATTTTGTCCTCAGAAACACACGATGAAAGAAATTTGACATGATTCGTCTTCTGATTGCCATATGTTGTCACTTATTGTAGGTTACTGAGACTAAAATGTCTGTTATAAAACCTATTTATAAACGGGGAATTAGTCCTTAAAAACTCACGATTATTCCCTATGGTTTTTTAATTAATAAATATAATTTTTCTTTAAAATGTTATAGTTAATGTTCCAATTTTAGTTATTCAGATGTTTCAACAAAACAAAAGCGTTAGCCCTTTTGTTAAGCGTTAAGTTGATATCTCGGTGTGACAGACTGGTAAAGGCTTTAGTCCGCGACTCCTTTGTGAACTTAAGCCGATGCAGGCGACCACTTTAACTGCATTGCGCCAAATATAAAATGCTTAAATGTAACATGAAATATTATAAATTCGAATAGAATGGATGTTTGTTTAAAGGTATATCTAGTACGCTGCATGGATCTTACTGAAATTTAGCATAGATGTCGAATATCTAGAAGAACATAGGCTCCTAATTAAGTTTGTATAATTCCGCGTAGACAGAGATTCGGTTTAGTTAAAGTTTTCTTTAGTGTTAATCCCATACAATGACATGATTGATCTTACGATGGAGTTGGAAGATGGTCAGGGAAACTTTACAATGAAGAGACACAACCTAATCGAGTTTGGGCTCGTTTGAATCTTCTTGACGAGTAGTTTGCTTGTTTCAATTTTCAGTTCTTTTGTCATAATAAAAGGTGTTTTAAATAGTTTTTTTTAATTGTGTATAATGTAAAGCAAGGCTTACACGTGTATAATAAATAAATTCGTATCTGCCACAGCGGCAGGTCAATGACCCGACAATGCATTGCGCCAACTCAAGTTATGCAACTTGTGTAGCTTTGGACGAGGATCAAAACTTGCTTAACTTGTATACATAGGTATGTTCAACGAAGATATTTATAGTAATATTAGCTGTTGTCTGCGAGGAATTGAAAAAAAAATAATTAGTAGCCTATGTGTTCTTCCAGATTATGTTCTACATCTACGCCAAATTTCAGCGAGATCTATGCAGCCGTTCTGGATATACATTCAAACAAACATCCATCGATCCATCCATCTATTTATACGTGTGTTTAAGAGTGGTAGAACCCGCTTTAACATCTTCGCACGAATTGGCCAGGTTCGCACGGTGAAATACCACCACCACACAGAAAACAGGCGTGAAGTGGAAGCAATTCCGCGTTTCGTCTGATGAGTGTGCGTCCCGGAGGCCTAATTTAGTCCTCTTTACCTTCCCACCCTTTTCTTATAAGGAAAGGATGGGAAGTGGAAGTGGACTTTCCGGATGAGAGGATGCATGGAAAGGGAAAATATTATCTTTCTGTGCCTACTCTCCTCCGACGATTAAAGGTAGGCAACGCATATGCAATTGCGTATGTCTATGGGCAACGGTCACATCGCTATATCAGCGATTTCAGGTGGCCGCTCGCTCGTTCGCCACCCAATGATATATTTTCCTCATCTAGTCCTTAACTTTATAAAGTTATTTGTAGTTTTGCGTCGTTTAGTGTCAAGGATGAACATTCACCCAATTCTAGTGTTAAACGATTGATTAATTTTAAACTTTTTGCCAAACAAAATAGGGTATAGTTTGCATTATTTAAATCCATACATTGTCTAGCTGTAAGCGTTTGCTAATAGTTTTTGTGGTACATTAACCCCGTCAAAGCCTGGTTTTTGTCCTTATCGCATTAAACGATGACGACTTCGTCTGAATACGATTCCAGTGTCGATTTTGTATAAAAATTATTTGAATTCCGCTTAGTAAAAAGTAAATAGTCTGAGATTATAATATATCACAACGATCAAAATATTGTAATTTTACGTCGAAAACATATGTTAGATGTAAAGAATTGTTTGTTTTAAAATATCGTATGAGAAATCTTATATCTTTAAATGAGCAATTCTTGTACATATATATAATTGGAATCTCGGAAGCGGCTCCAACGATTTTCATAAAATTTAGTCTATAGGAGGTTTCGGGGGCGATAAATCGATCTAGCTAGGAATCATTTTTAGAAAATGTCATTTTATTCGTGTTTTATCGATGATCAACTTAAACATAAACTTAACTTTTTCTATCGGTAACATCGAAAAATATTATTCATATTTCAACATTTTATTAGTAATTCGTACTTAAATGTAATTACCAAAAAACACAATTTAAACGGTCATCCAGGTACTTAATATAAATGCGAATGTTTGGATAGACGTTTGTTAGAAGTTAACTCCGGAACAGCTAAACGGATGTCGGTGAAATTTGGCATACATGTAGGACATAGTCTGGAAGAAAGCATAGACTAATAATTAAGTATTTTTTTTTAATTCCGCGAGGACAGAATCGCGGGCGACAGCTAGTAGGTTTATATTTCAAGCAGATAATTAATAATTAAGCCTTTAACATGGTAGCTAGTCAATCCTAGTGTGTCTAATATCGGCTTTTTATAGCAGCTAGATTCTCAAGATCCGGTGATTTTAAAAAGGAGATAAATATTTCTATAGCTATCGATTTTTATAGGAATCGGTACACGTTTCCAGGAAATAGAAACGGGATGCTCTGCGTGTACTCTGATAGCCTGGATAGAAATAGGCGCTGTATTTTTATTACAATGTTTTTATACTAAATATAATTTTAGATTCAGGTTTTTTTTTTACTAAAAGCACCACGATTGTTGTAAATATTATAGAAGATTTTTCTACACCAAGGATGGTTAAAGTTAATCTTTTTGTATATACATAAAAGTTTTCTTTAATAAAGACTAACCACAATAAAGAAATTCAAAATATAAACCCAAATAGAAAGCAACCGTCGAATAGGTGCCTTAAATATTGTTTCCTGCAATCACGAAACAGCCCCAAATGAAGCGATATAATCGATGTAATAACAATTTGCAAACGAGTAATCGTAATCAAATGTCAATTTTCGCGCCGAAACGTCAAACGTCAGTCGGCCATTTTGCGACAAGCTTATTGGCGCGTTTACGAGGGAGGTTTACGGTGCGAACGATGAAACATAGTGTCGTCTCTTTCACACAACGTTACGTAATACGGAAATGGGTGAGCAGTGTAAGGCGGCGAGTCGAGTTCCGCATGCGGACGGACTTCGAAGGGTTGCTATTGATTTTTCACGGAGTTTGCGGCAGTCGCCCGTCAGGCCGGTACCCAGCGCGAAAAAACACATCTGTACCGCGCTCCGCGACCGCAAATCCCGTTAAATATACAAAAATTCATATAAAAAATTCGCAAATACGTATAATAAAATCGATTCGGTACGTTAAATAGTTCGTTTTTGTGCGACTTTTGTGCTGGGAACCATATTTCGTAAGTGTTTGAACATTATAATCATTGCTATCTCTTTTTATTTGCAGACTCCATTTTAATGTGTATTAGCTGACATCCGAGGTCTTTGGCTGTGTCCTTAATGTTGTATTTCGTTAATTTTTATCGTATTAATATAATTGGATTACAAAATGTGCTACATTTCGGTGATTTAATTACAATCAGCTGATTTACTTGAAACGTCAAATGCCTTTACTATTTTATATCTTTGATTTAATTCCTAATAATTAAAAAAAACTGTCTTGACAGACGGACGGACACCAAAGTGATCCTATAAGAGTTCCGTTTTTTTCCTATGAGGTACGGAACCCTAAAAAGTAATTAACACATGTCTAACACTAATATCTAATCTTCCGGTGACGGCACCGACTACTTTAGGACCCGTCTGAGGTAAATTTTCAGGGCGAGTACTTAATTAGCTTTTTTTCCTCGCGTCTCGTTTCTTTTTTAATTTTGTTTTTAATTGCACCTTTATAATAATGTCTTATTAAAGTTTAAATAATTAAATATAAATGCTTACTGCCTTTTCAATATAAATGAAAATTACTTACCAATTTATCCAACGTGAGATTTTGCTTGACCACTCTATTCGATCGGTATATCGTATGATAAACATTCATTTTTACGCTTTTTCTTTTTTTTATTTCAAACAAAAACTTACAACCAACCAGCAACTGATACCACCACAGATAATAAATATTTTTAATCAATTTATAATACAATAAAACCTTAAAAGAATAAAATAAAATTAAGAGATAAATTATCTCTAAGCAATGTACATGGATCCTGAGTCAGTTCGTCAAGACTACTGGAGAGATATCGTGCTGGGTATGACGTCATAAATCGTTACCGACCCCATGATATCAGTGATGACGTCACTCGTCCTTCCCCCCATGTCCTTAGCTTATTGCTTCAGCAATTATGTGAGAGATTAACTACGGCCATTTTATTAAGACATTAAGCATATAAATGTATATATTAAACAAATGTTATTTAAAACATATTATTAGATATTTTAAATAGTATATTTTTATTACTTTCTAATATAAGGGTAGGCAGAGATAGAGATTTGTCATCCGACATTCAATGAAGGTTAAGGGATGTCTTAATATCGCCCTTTTTGATTTATAAAAAAAAGATTTCATGTACAGAAAACACAAGTATTTTTGGACATATAAAAAAGTATTTATTTTCTTTACTATTATAGTAAACTAGCTGAATTTCGCGACCCCGTCCGTGCGGTTTTAAAAAAAACTTAAGTACTCTATGTGTTCTTTCAGACTATGTTCTACATGTATGCCAAATTTCAGCGAGATCCATGCAGCCGTTCAGGAGATATACCTTTAAATAAACATCATCGCATCTGCGGTTCCTCTGGTATTGCTGATGTCCATGGGCGTCGTTGAACACTTCGGTGTTCCCGCTGCTCGTTTACTCCCTTCTGTTATAAAAAAAAATCAACTAACAACAAGATAACAAATAGGTTCAAAGAAATAGTAACACATATTTACTAAGCAAACTTAATTTTAAAATTAGAAAGTGTTAGCAATTCATCTCCGACATGGTAAAGCCGTTCTTGAGTTATAAATAGTGTAACGTGTAAAAGATGCGAAAGTTTGGATGTATGGATGATTGGTAGGTATCTCCAGAACAGCTGTATGGAATTTGATGAAATTTGGCATTGCTGTAGAACATAGTCTGGAAGAATACAGGCTACATACTGAGTTTTTCTTTAATCTGCGTATTAAAAAACCCGGAAACAAATAAACAATTTTAAAACTATTGTGTTCTCATTTGCAAACGTTTTACGACACTTGACATTTTTAATCTTCCAACATTTTGTTTATCTTTTGAATACGATTTTGTTATAATGGTCAGTATACAATGCGGGTCAACTTTCATAATCTATTCGAGTTTAGTTTACTTTAGCCGCAATGCACGTGTTACGTAAAGTATTGAACAATATACTGCGGTTAACTAATAAAAGTAGGTTAGGACTGTTTTAGACACCTTTTCTTGTAGACAGTACATTGAAAAAAATACAGTCCCGCACGCAATCAAAACATCAAAACTTTATCATACTAATATTATTATATAAATGGGAATGTTTAGATGAATGTTTGTTTAAAGGTATCTTCAACGGCTGCACGGATTTTGCTGAAATTTGGAATACGTATAGAACATAGTCTGGTAGAACACATAGGCTTATTAAGTTTTTTTTTCAAATTCTGTACGAATGGAATCGCTTGCAACAGCTTGTATCTTGCTAATTTTCTTAATGTTACAACGTATCTTGCTTAACAGATCTTGGTTAAAGTCACTGGAAGAACATAGGCTTCTGATATTATGTTTTAATTCCCCGCAGACAACTTCGCGGGATAACGTTAGTCACTAAAAAAAATTATATCCTTACCAGTATTTATAAACACTAAATTAAAATTAATTTTAACGGATACAAACATACAAATCTCACTTTATTCATCATCATCAGCTCACTATACGTCCCCACCGAGGGGCTCGGAGCCTACCCTAAGTAAAGGGTTGATTAGGCCATAGTCAACCACGCTGGCCAAGTGCGGGTTGGTTGACTTCACACATATCTTTGAATTTCTTCTCAGATATGTGCAGGTTGCATCACGATGTTTTCCTTCACCGTAAGAACGTCGGATAAATGTACATATGTAATTCGGAAATCGAAAAACACATTGGTACATGGCGGGATTCGAACCCAGGACCTGCAGATTGCAAGTCAAGTGCTTGACCACTGAGCCACCGACGCTCCCTCACTTTATTAATATGTTATAAATATTTTTTTTATTTACAAAACTTAATTCTACTCATCAATATTAATGGAGAATAAAATTTCACGTTACGAATTAAGTATTAAATTTTTAATTAAAGTTCTGTACGCGACTGTCAACGTATAGGAAATTAAATCGGACAGTCGCGTACAAAAAGTCCATTTGATTATTACATTATACATTCATATTTGCAAATTGAAAAGCGATGGATATACGGTTTAATAAATGAATTTCCATTGTCGAAGGAATTTAAACGTATACCCATCTCTATTATTCTCTACGGAAAACTGAGATAGCTGTATTTTGTTTTGTTGCGCTTTTGGAAATATTAAAATCCATTTTGTCTATTACTGTTATTACTTGATGAAATTTGGCACAAAAATTGATTACAGTCTGGAATAACACATAGACTTCTAAATCTTTTTTTAGCTACACAGACGAAGTCACCATTAATTGGTAGTATGTCAAAAATGCATGAAATCTGAATGAGTTTCTTTCACGAGCAGTCAAAGAAGTGAACAAAAAATTACTCTCCTAAGCCGGGTAAAAAAACTTCATGTTTTCAAGCGAGGGAAGTCACGTATTGCTGAGTCAGCGTGTTACCTCTTAAAGAATCTCTTTAGATGTCTTTTATTCTGCTCACGAATAGTTTTTGTGATCTCGTTTTAGTAACGTATTGATTTAAATATTAAAAAGTACGGAATGACTGTGAGAAAGAGGAAATGCGTAGGCAGTGTTGGTGTGGCAGTGGTAGAGCCCGCTTTAACATCTTTGCACGAATTGTCCCGGCTCGCCCGGTGAAATACCACGACCATACAGAAGACAGGCGTGAAGTGGAAGCAATTCCGCGTTTCATCTGATGAGTGTGCGTCCCGGAGGCCTAATTTAGTCCGCTTTCCTTTACCACCCTTTTTCTTATAAGGAAAGAATGGGAAGTGGAAGTGGACTTTCCGGATGAGAGGATGCATGGAAAGGGAAGATATTTTCTTTCTGTGCAAATTTGTTACATGAAGGCTGATTAATAATAAAAATATTCATTATAGTATTAAACAATTTTAGGTTAGTTTTTCCATGCTATTAGTTATCAAACTTATTAATTTTTTTAATTAAAACTCAAAAGAACTCCGTTCATAGAACAAATTATAATTGGTTCGAATGCAAATTGACGACGGGAAGTTTGTGAAAGCTTCGCTAAAACGAAAACGTAAAAGCGATGAAAAAGAAAAGTGTTATAACACGAAAGAGGTTGCAGCAAAAAGTTTGTAAATCTTTTTTTCATATACAGACTGATTTCCATTGATATTACGACGTTTTAATGAGTATCAATATCATCAGCTCACTATACGTTCCCACTGAGGAGGTTTTAGCCTACCCTAAGTTAGTGACTAGGCCATAGTCAACCACGCTGGCCAAGTGCGGGTTGACTTCACACATATCTTTGAATTTCTTCGCAGATATATGGAGGTTGCATCACGATACTACGCTGTAAGAACGTCATTAATATGTATGTTTTATTAAAGTCTATCCGACAATTTTGTAAATTATCTAGTTACTAGCTGTGGCATGTGACTCCGTCCGGGTAGTTTAAAAAATCCTATGTGTTCTTCCAAACTATCTTCTATATGTATGCCAAATTTCATCAAGAACCGTTCAGTTGTTCCATACCTTCAAACAAACATCCATACATCTAAACATTCGCATTTATAATATTAGTAGGATTTCCAAAAGTGTAATAAACAATTTCAAGATCTTAGGTTAAAAGTTAAGTTAATAGACTAACACAAGATTGTATATTGATATAGAATTTCACGATAAGTACTTTCAAGTAAAAACCGTATATAAAATCCAGTACTTTGTCCTCAACTCCGCAACATTTGCCGTAAAGTCGACAAAAAATATACGCCTATGAAAATGACAGGTCGCTCATAACCTCACTCTGATGTCTTATAAAGCGATATTTTTAGTATCATAATAGCGTAGTGAGCGCGTATCTAAACACTTTACACAACAACGCACATTCTTAACTTTGTTAAAAGCTATATAAAAAGAAAAGAGATCTTATAAATATTATTCATACTTTATAATTTTACTATACAAATATTATAAATGCCAATGTTCAGATAGATGGATGGATGGATGGATGGATGGATGGATGGATGTTTGTTCGAATGTATATCCAGAACGGCGAAACGGATCTCGGATTTTAAACGGATTTTAATACTGAAAGGTTAATGATAAAACGCCTGCAAAAAGTTATTAGCAATTTTATAATTTAAATACATTGCTGTTTGTCAAATGAAAATTAATGAATTTTGCTAAAATTTGATGTTAATAATAAAGAAAATGCTTTAAAGTTATAAACTTTCTATTTCATCTTTGTTTTTTTTCTGTATTAAATTATAATAAAAAAAAGCCCGTAGATACTTGTAAAGAGTTAATCCACCCGACCGTGTTGTCTCTAATCAAAGAGATTGGCACCAAACATTAATCAGTAGTAATTAAATCGAAAAGGGACAGTCGTAATGGACAGCGTGATTTAATTAACACAATGTCTGCTCTGTTACTAATCTGTGTGGTGGTTGTTACATCACAGGATTTCTGTTAACAATATTGTCAAAATAAACGATTATTAATTCTTATTTCTTACTTTACAATAATATACGATTAATTTGAGTGCAAAAAATATATGTAGAAACCCATAAATAAAACAAAAATAATTTTAAAAGTAATTTTAGTAATAAAGTGTTACTATAATTTGACAAGAGCGTCGGTGGCTCAGGGGTCAAGCACTTGACTTGCAATCTGTAGGTCCTGGGTTCGAATCCCGCCATGTACCAATGTGTTTTTCGATTTCCGATTTACATATGTACATTTATCCGACATTCTTACGGTGAAGGAAAACATAATGATGCAACCTGCACATATCTGAGAAGTAATTCAAAGATATGTGTGAAGTCAACCCGCACAGCCAGCGTGGTTGACTATGGCCTAGTCACCCTTAACTTAGGGTAGGCTCCGAGCTCCTCGGTGGTGACGTATAGTGAACTGATGATGATAATTTGACGCTAAGTAGGATGGCTTAGTAATTACGCAAATGGATTTTGTTTAAAACTTGCTTCTGATGATTTGAATACGGAATATTTTTGTAACAGACAAAAACACTCATAATACACTTTATCAACACTTATACTTATACAATAATTGCTTACTAGAATTAACGAATGCACTTTATGTAATTTAATAAAAATTTCAATGCAAACACATTCTCGATTAGCATATTAAATGAACAAGCATAATTTTAACATGCTCTTGCTAACATAACCTAACTTACACTTCATTTAATAGGAGCTAAAACTAACATGTTATAATTATAAAGATAACAAACTCACGAGGTCCAAAGTAATTTTCGTGGAAAACATAGAATATACAAAAAACACATCGATGGCTACGCTGGGTCGCTTTAAGCATTCCCGCCGCCCTGGGCGGAATTTTTGCGGTGCCTGCTTTCTTGTTTGGCGTTAGGGAGAAATCTTCCAAAGATAGGGTATCTTAGGAGTCGCCATGGGCGTCCTTTTACATCCGAAACCGGCGCCTGCAAAGCCCTGTTATGCCCGAGCCCTAGGCGGTCCTCCCCTTCTCCCACGTACGATTATATCCAACAGTTTTACAATTTAATACTTTTTCAATTTACTTGTTGAAAACTGCTTTTTCGTACACTAGCTGTCACTCCAGACACCGTGCGCGCGGCATTAAAAAAACTTAATTATAGGCCTATCTGTTCATCCAGACTATGTTTTACATTTTTGCTAAATTTCATCCAGATTTATACAGCTGTTCTAGAGATACCTTCAAATAGGCATCCATCCAAACATTTATAATATTAACTAGCTGTCGCCCGCGACTCCGTCCGCGCGGGATTAAAAATAAATGTTGGCCGATTCCCAGACCTACTCAATATGCTCACAAAATTTCATGAGAATCGGTCAAGCCATTTCGGAGGAATATGGGAACGAAAATTGTGACACGAGAATTTTTTATATATAATAAGATTGCATTTGCTTAGGACATAATTAATGGTATGATACTTTAAGTTCTGTTTCGTTACGTTAAAACAGAAGAGATATAATTATTTACGTAGGAGTAGAACGTTTAGTAAATTTTATCAAAATTATTGTAACACGATACGTCGTTAAGTTCCTACAACAGAAGCCTTAGTAAGTTAACAATATTGATTAATCGAGACTGAACAGTATTATTACCGCATTTCATTATGATTATAATTCGAGAAATACAAGTAATATAGCCTAAAAACAAGGACTAAATCCCTGTAAAGAGGTGACTAGCCCATAGTCAATCACAGCTCAGTGCGGGTTGACTTCATACATCTTTGAATTTCTTCTCAGATGCAGCATCACGAAGTTTTCCTTTGCTGTAAAAACTGATTTCAAACTAGAGAGAAGTATGGGTAGAATGATAGATGTTTGTTAAATTGTATCTTGAGAACGGTTGTATGGATCTCGTTAAAATTTTATATAGATGTAGAACATAGTCTGGAAGAATACCTAGGCTACTAATTAAGTTTTAATTCCGCGAGGACGGCTTCGCGGCCAGCACATAAAAGATTACCAAATTCGTGTTTCTGGTACTGCCGTGTGCGTGTGCAAATTCATAAAAATGTATTATTCTTTTGTTTTCTAAGATAAGAAGAGGATGAAAATATGTTTCTAAACATGTGTATCAATGTGAACCCACGGTTATTTCGGTTTAAATTTCACCTTAATTATTTTTTAAAGTATGCTTATTTGCTTAATAAAACGAAATACATTCGATATTCCAAACGAAGTCCTTCCAATCCGGTAATAATAACGAAGTAACGGCCCGAGCCGAGGTTCCTGAGGGAGCCCTCGAGCTTAGTTACTCTTAAACGAGGTTTAGGCTAAGTGCCATCTGCGCTCGGCCACCTCAAGCCCGGTGAAGCTGTAAATGCCTCCTCAAGGCAAACAGTGGCAATCAGTCACAACAAAAAAAAATCCTAACCTAAAATTAGGAATTCGGCTTCAAAATATTAATTTAACTTTTTTTTCTTAAAACTACTATTGTGTCTTTTTATTATCTGTTACAAAATACTTGCAAATTATAGCAGTTTCATTGTTTTCTGTGAAATACATTAATCCAAGGAATCGCAGTTTGTGTTGGCTTCCCGCCAAAATGCAACTACATGGGAACCGTTGCTTATTCTCTTATTCACTTTAGACATTCTGAACAATTTAGCTTACTGTTAAATTTAATAAATTTAATTTGAAAAGTACAAAAATTCTAAACTAATCTACAGGTCCTGGGTTCGAATCCCGCCATATACCAATGTGTTTTTCAAATTACTTATGTATATTTATACAAGGTTCTATGGTGAAAAACATCGTAATACAACCTGCATATATCAGCTAAGAAATTACTAAGATATGCGTAAATTTCCTGAAGAAAAAAGCGGTAACGCGACTCGCCACAAGTCGCATTCCGTCTCCCGAAATGGCAAATACTAGATTGCGGAGTTTCGTTTGGCCACGCCAAATGGAAATTCGTGGGCTCTGCCTACCCCTCTGGGATACAGGCGTTAGTTGTGATGATGATGAATTTGTTATTAATCTCGTGAACCTTTTATATATATACCTACGTTATTTTATTTCAATATATAGAATTAAATAATGAAAAGGCAAGGCAATCCTAACATAAGCCAAATTCCTCCTGCAATCAATTTCGTTGTACTATTTTTATTCTTTCCAATTTACTCGGAACTGGATCCGAATCCATTTCTCATGAATTCTTCATATATACGACTGACGAAATTTTATGACTTCCAACGAACGATTCGCCTACGTTGGTTTTTTCTAATAAATCTTTTATTTTAGAAAGAAAAGTAATTTGTGTCTAAACATATTAATAAAATTAGTATGTAATATTGAAAATAATCATATTAAAAGGCGGCAAACAAAGAAGCAAATACCTGAAGTCACCGAAATAGCGGAGCTCAGTGGTCGCATAGATATCTTGAATTACAGACGCGTTGCCAACCTTTAATCGTTACAGAAAGGGAAGCACAGAAAGAACATATTTGCCCTTCCTATTCCCTCCTCCGTCAGATCCCCTTGCTTTTCTCATCCTTGTAATAAAAGAAAAAGGATGGGAAGGGAAAGTGGACTAAAATTAGACCTCCGTGACGCACACTCATCCGACTGTATTTGGTATTGCTTCCACTTGACGCCTGTCTTCTGCGTGCTCATGGTATTGCAACAATCGAGAGGTCTAAAAGCTTGCTGGAGTCTTCCACTATAAATTCTTATATTATCCTTTCTTACCTATCCTTTCGCACATACTCTATCCTATTGTGGTATCCTAACTTTGTCTGTATGTTCCAGCAGCGGCACATGGTAGTGAGGCCCGTGATCCACCGGGCGTAGAGCTTGCCCCCCCGTCCCGCACCGCCCCCGAGGCTGCCACCAGATGATCGGCTCATTCTGGAACCTGTGCCGTGCGTGCCCTTCCATGCCTGTCGATAAGGTAAGCTAACTTAAGTCTCCTTTTCACTGAACGAGAAGAATCGCAACTTTAACTGTCGTGGACGTCGCCTCTTAATTTAAATCTATACAATTAAATCTGGTTACTGAGGTAGTACTTTAGTGTACATTTTAATGATAAACTACACTGATCGTGGGTTTCTGAGACAAAAATCTCGGTTTAAAACATACTGTTATCTCTCTTTTATCACTAGATAATGAGAGAGATGTTTTGTTTTATACAGAGATTCTCGGAAACCCACTATAAGAGATGCACTTAGTCCATCAAACAACAATCTGTGGTATGGAGTATTTAAAACATAATATAATTGTACTTAACTTTCCTCTTATCTTTTAACTTAAGTATACGATTACTTTGAGTAAAGTTTGATTTAAGTATGACTTTAAGGTTTTTGAAACAATGCCAAATTGTTAGCATTTTTTATTACATTAATCAAACCTAAGTTATAGTTCGCTGCAGCTAAGTTGGATACAGTGACCCATGTCTTAATTCATATTGTTGTCTCTGTTTTATCAAAGATAATGAAAGAGATAACGATATGTTTTATTACAAGTATTCGACTGTGGAAGTCTACGGGTAGGAATACCAACAACCAAAATTCGAGTGGTAATCGAGTGTATGTTAGCGTTACTTATAACCAAATATCCATTATAAAAAAATCTATCCGTCTGTCCGCAATGCCGCGTTTTTTCGAGTTAATCTTCGAAACATCTAGACTGATTTTGACGAGACTTTGACTGGAAGGTAGCTGATGTTTTCGGGCATACTATAGCCTTCTTTTTGCAGACGAAATCTGAGGTGATCACAAGTATTATAATAAGACTAGCTGTCGCCCGCGACTCCGTTCGCGCGTAATTAAAATGAAACATAATAAGTATCCTATGTGTTCTACCAGACTATATTCTACACGTATACCAAATTTCATCATCTGTTGAGCCATGTTGATCCATACCTCCATCCAAACATATTTACCCTAAATATAGCAGTTCGCAGAAAATTTTTCACAAGCACATGTCATTTGTTTCAATCTACTTAAATACTTAAAAAGAAACTTTAGAAGTCACGCGAATATCGCAGAGAAATTTCATAATTGCCGTATTTTCTGGAATATTTGACGTCGATAGGTTTTTGTCGGATTTAGGGGAAGTTGGGGGAAATTCGCTTCAAGTTCGAGTAGGTACATACTGGAAATTGCTAGTGTAAAATACGAACGTTTCCCGTTGGGCCGATTGACCTAGGAATAATAAACCTATAAGGACCTAGGAGTAATGGTAATTTAATATCCTATTTGACCGATTGTATAGATTCGATCGAGAAATCGGATAAAAATACCATTGGACCGATTTGAAAACACCCTGTAGCTCAATATTCTTGTATTTAAATTGTTTCAAAAGAATCGAATATTGTTCTCTATCTTAAAATAAGTACTAATGTTCTGCCTGTTCAGAATTTAAAGCATACTAAGAAACATATTATAAAGAAGGAGAAATACCATCTTACTTCTTACTAATATTATAAATGCGAAAGTTTGAATGTATAGATGTTTGTTAGTAAGTATGTCCGGAACAGCTTAACGGATCTTGATGAAATTTGGCACTAATATAGAACATAATCTGGAAGAACACGTAGGCTACTTATTAAGTTTCATAAACACCCCACGGACAGAGTCACGGGTAATAGTTGATACATAAAAATTAATTTAAAAAATCCGAAAGAAAACCATAACGAAAAATTTATCGAGTTCATACTTACATAAGAACTGTTTTTTAAGTGTTTCTAAAAGACATAACGAGATAATATAGATAATATCATGCTAGTTCATGACTAAATATCTGACAAGATTCACCGCTTTTTTTTTTCAATTTTACCAATAAATAAATTCCAGCTTGATACCTTCACGCGTTCTTGAGAAAAAAGGTCTTGACAGACAGACGGACGGATAACAAAGTGATCCTATAAGGGTTCCGTTTTTTTCCTATGAGGTACGGAACCCGAAAAGCTATAATATCATGTTTGCGTTTACATATTTTTACGATGTGATAAAATGTATTTCGTAAACAAAATATCGTTAAAACACGACACGGAGGCGCGTGGAAAAAGCCATTAATCTTCATTGATTTTTTGATACATCGCCTGGATTTGACATTGAAGGAATATGAGGATGTGTAAGGTTTCAATTTTCGATATTTTTCAATCAATCTTGTTACCAAATAACTGAATAGAAAGAGTATTTTATCATACTGACTTCAAGACGAGGAGTGAGTTAGGTATTGCGTCTGTATTGCATCTTATTCCTCTTAAGGATGGGTAGGGGAAGCGTATTAGACGGTAGGTGACGCATAAGAGGAAAAATATTTCTGGGCTCCTTCCCTGTCGAAGGTAGGCAAACATATCTACGGATGTTTGGCTGCAGCGGTTACTTTGCTATTGCAAATGCTGGCTGTTTGCTCGCTTATCACCTTATAATAAAAATTAAAAAAAAAACAATCGAGAATTTTCTTTTTTATTGATTTTGGTGACACTGTAATTGATGTTCACTATCCTTCGACAACTTCCCGTAGCAACAAACGTGGTAAATTATAGCTCTTACCGTAGGATTCTGACACCAAAATCTCTGTATAAAACATATCGTTGTCCCTGTCATTTTCGTTGTCAACATGGAGATAACAATATGATTTTACAACGGGGTTTTTGTACGCATAAATCCACGGTTTGTGACAGTTTACTGTAATAACCGAAGTGGGAAGCGAATTAAATTCTTTATCTGTATATCTGTTTTATTATATCGATAGGATTGGAGCTTAATATCATTAACGTGCATTTATTTCAAATAAAACCTTTTTTGCAGTAACCTCACTCCGATCTGGAGGTAGAAAAATAAAATCCAATTTATCTAGAGCGAGCAATGTAACAGAATTTGGCAGAGCTCGTGGCATTTCGTTTGCCAATGTATGTACAAAATATCCTGCAGCATTTTAGCCTTTTACCAAAAAAATATTTTAGTGCAAACAAATTTGATTGTCATTTTAGGGTTGTCCATTTCGCAATATCTGTTTTTCTTTTATTTTGTGGTTTTCAAATGTATGTCCTAAAACGTCAATGTTTGTATGTTTATCCCAGGCCTTCCTAAAACATTAGAAAGTATTTGTTATAATCTTTTTAGTGCATTCTTAAAATGTCTAACGACTGATTTTTTATCAGGTTTTACTTTTTTTATTTTTATTATTTTAACTAATCCGACTTTATCCGACGTTCTTACGGTGAAGGTAAACATCGTGATGCTGCACATAACTGAGAAGTAATTCAAAGATATGTGTGAAGTCAACCAACCCGCACTTGGCCAGCGTGGTTGACTATGGCCTAATCACCCTTAACTTAGGGTAGGCTCCGAGCCCCTCGGTAGGGACGTATAGTGAGCTGATGATGATGATGATTTTAACTCGATCGATCTCAGTAGTAAATAAAATTAATTCGTGCTTATTTATTTAAATCATACACTTTTTATATTTACGCTTTCCGAAAACAAGAATAGAAGATATTTTGTCGTGTCTTTACATAAAAAAATATGATAAATCAACCCAAATCATTCGGAAAAATTAAACGTTCAACATTTCCAGTAAAATAAATCAATCGATAACTAATCGAGCGGAAAAATTATATATAACCTTTTTCATTTTCAGTTCAAGGCGTTTACAAGGTCATTGACCTCCAATAAAGCGCGACGCAATAACCGAAGCACCAATCACGTCTTTGATACGAGCTTTTATTTCTAGTAGGGTTGTCATCGCACTGATATTTGAATTACTAAAAAAATAATGCTTGATTATACCGTTATACTAACTCCCATACAATTATTATAACGATGGATTAAAGTTTTAGGCACTAAAAGAAACATAAACCTGACTAAGTCTACTAGATGAAATAGCGCCATCTATTGTCTGCGTTTTAAAACAATGATTTTCAATTTATTCATACAAGTAAAGTGTATCGTAAATGTAATTTCTATTTAGCAAAGAACAAAGTTATAGCCAGTTACATTTGTACTCGTTCTTTTCTATATCTTTAGAATTTCCAACCACCTAATATACCCTACGATACAGCGAGGAAAAAGACAATTCAAAAGACACCTCATTAGTTAAAATCGGTTCAGTCGTTTAAGGTCTAGGCCGTCACATTGGAATTTACATATATACGAAACCGCATAACAAACATACATTGGCCCCTCTTTATCAGTAGGGTAATTTTTTTTTCGCTACCTTTAATTGACGGAGGAGAGGATGCACGGAAAGAAAACATCTTCCCTTTCCATGCATCTCATCCGGAAAGACCACTTCCGCTTCCTATCCTTTCCTTATAAGAAAAAAGATGGGAAGGGAAAGAGGACTAAATTAGGCCTCCGGGACGCACACTCATCAGACGAAACGCGGAATAGCTTCCACTTGACGCCTGTCTTCTGTGTGGTCGTGGTATTTCACCGAGCGAGCCGGGCCAATTCGTGCGAAGATGTTAAAGCGGGCTCTATCACTGTTAAATAAATAGATTAGAGACCACTAGGGTAATAAAAAGATGTTTTGTTTCCTGTGTATTCCAACATAACATTCCTGTTTTTTCTTATATTTATCATCAAAAGAATGCTTGGAATTTAAAATCCTTACCACTTGAAATTATTCGTCTTTCACTTTCTTATTTTTAATAATTTTTAATTTTGTAATTGCATAAATTGCAAGATGTCGGTGGCTAAGTGGTCAAGCACTTGACTTGCAATCTGCAGGTCCTGGTTTCGAATCCCGCCATGTACAAATGTGTTTTTCGATTTCCGATTTACATATGTACATTTATCGGTTGTTACGGTGAAGGAAAACATCGTGATGCAACCTGCACATATCTGAGAACAATTCAAAGATATGTGTGAAGCCAACCAATCCGCACTTGACCAGCGTGGTTGACTATGGCCTAATAAGGCAAGCTCCAAGCCCCTCGGT